TCAATAAATTAGCCCATCAAATACCAATTCCTACTAGTCACTGGGCTCTATAAGACTTTTATTCAGTGTACTTGGGCTTAGGGAGGAGCCAAATTAAGCCACCACACACATCTTGGTGATTTTCATGACGTTAGCAGTAAGGAGCTAGAATAGTTTTCCCCAATATTTTAAGGATAATCATGTGGAAGAGCAATATGTTTCTTTTGTATGGACTAAAGAGAGAGAACAAAGGTGATTAAAGGCCCAGCTTTCAGAATCAGGGCCTCTTTTGTTTTTTAGATTTTTCATTTTTATTTATTTATGCATACAGGAGCTGTGGGGTGTAGGCCGGAGGTGTTTGGGAGGGGGTGACAGGATTTACCAGAGACAGAGTGGGGAGCAGAACAGGCAGATCTACTGAAATACACTGCTGAGGGGAACAGCGGGCGAGACAGGAGAGGTCTGCTGCGCCATATAAATTATTAGCTCCCTGGCCGGGATGGAATTCATGCTGCAGTGGCTGGCGATAGCGCTGAGACTTTAACCCCTGAGCCACCAGGGAAACTCTCAAAATCAGTTTTATAAAGTGATTTCTGAGGGTTAGGTTATCAAAGCCAGCAGAGACTACTTTCAGAGAGCTAGAGTTCCATGTCCTTAAATGTTCTAAGCATAGATTAGAGAGCCTCTCACAAGTACATAATAAAATCACGGAAATATTTCTATAGATGGATTTGCTGATGTGTATGTACCCTCTTTTTGCTCTTTTAAGAGTGTGGATTCTAGTTTTAAAACATGTAACTGTGTGTGTATGTGTGTGTATACATACATACATATATATATACCTGCATACACAGATGATAAATACAAACATGATAGTTTTTGTTCTTTGTGATCTTGAAAGACTGATGTATGGTCTCCTTCCACTGCTATTTACCATTTGACCTTTTTCAATGTGGTTTCTGCACCCGGCACTGAAACTGCTTTCCAAACTAGCTAGTAACACTCCAAAATTTCAATCCAATAGAAATTTTGCATACTTTGTCTTGTTTTGCCTGCAAGCACTTAAAGATCATTTCTTATTTCTTCACACTCTTTTTGGCTTCTGAGTTATTCTCTCTCCTTGTTTTTTTCTACCTTTAAGATTTCCTACTCAGTTTCTTGCAGACTTTTTTTTTTTTTTTTTTTGGCTTTGTGTCCTGCCTCTGATTGGTTTTGTTTTTTATTTTTATTTATTATTTTTTTAACATTTTTAAAGTATAGGCTTATTAAGAAAAGGAGAAAGATAAAGAGAGGCCCCTGTATAGTCACAGGAGGGCAGGAGAGCCTCCCTGCCTGCCTCTGATGTTGGTGATTTCTTGTACTTCCATGATTTCATTTAACTTCTATACAGATCATTTCCACATCTGTCTTTACCTCATTGCCTGGCTCCAGCTGCCTATTAGATATCACCTCCTCAAATTCATAGGATTTTTGTAAGGATTAAATTACTTAATTCACATTAAGCACTTAGTATAGTAATTGTGCTGGCAGTGTTGATCAAAAGTGAATTTTTACCCAGCTAATTAATACTCATCCATTCTCTTGAGGAACCTACTGGCTTATCCTTAAATCACCATTTTCCAGATTGTTTTCTTGGAACACTAGTATCCCTATGGTATTAATTGGTATTCCACCCAGATAAAGAGAAAGTAGGATTCCATAATCAAGTAAGTTTGGAAAATGATTTATGGCAGGATTGGCAAACTTAATGGACACTGAAATTTGGATTTCAAATAATTTTCATAAAATGATATTATAGATTATATTACATCTTTTAAAATTAAAGGTAAACTGTATAAAGCCAGGAAAAAGAAAAACGGCATCCTGTTAAAGCTGTATAACCAACACCATTAAAATCTCCTATAAAAGTTCTGCACCAGTGCTATTAGATTCAATATTCCTCCTATTTAATTGACCATGGAATCTTTTTTTCATGGGAAATTTGTTAATGTCTGTTGCCATGTTTCTATGGGATACACTTTTGAGAAATGCTGACCTAGAAAATAGCTTGTATTATGCATAGCATGTACGCGTCAGGTGAAATTTTGGGCTATGGAGCAGGCTGGAAATAATAAGAGAAAGTATCTTGTTTTTACTGCTGTGATCAGCTGAGCCTAGCCGGTCATACACATTCAAAGACTTAATTAGTAGAAGGTGAACATAACAAAGTTTATGCTATTGATCAGCTTTCAGAAATGAGAAAACTGCTATGTTATTATATCATTAGAAAAGATAGACGTGCTCTAAGAGAGAGAACTTATTCCATCAAGAGGAGGAAGAGATCCAAAGGCCATACTCAAAATATTATTAGTAATAGGTATGAATTTGTATTGTTTTAAAATCTTTGCCATGTCTTTAAAATACTAAGCAATGTTTTTATTTAAAAATTCAGTTTATATATATTAAAATTCTGCAACTTGTTTTGAAAGATTTTTAATTCTCATTTTTCTGTGTCTTTGAGAAGTAAATATGTTACAACATAGGCAGTGATTGTTATTGCCTTACTGTTTTTTTAGCATATTTTCTATTTAAAATAGTATCATTGCTAGTCAGAAAACTTCAAATTTTATAAAAGCACTTTTATCAGAGGAGTCTGCATTTCCCATCCTTTTATGCCTACTGAAGCCATATGTTAAAAGAAAAAGATAAAATAGGTGTAATAAGCATTTTTTCTAAATTATGTCTGGCATTTGACAAGCAGCAAGAACCGAAGGGAAGATGCAGAGAAGACAGGATTATCCCAGCTGACAATAATAATAATTCATCTACCTAATGCAAACATAGTCTCTTGCCCATTCCTAACAGAACTTCTCCACCAGATGTTTCATTCCAAACCTGTTCAGAAGAGGAGTTGTTCTTACAATTTTTTGACCCAAAATTGGTAGCAGATGAATGATGGAATTCTTGAATCATTAATACAGGAAGGTAATAAATAACAGGATTTGTTTTCATCTGCTTTAGCCAGACAGTACTTTTAGACCTTCAATATCTCAGCAACTCCAGTGTCCCCAGTTCTCTCTCAACACACCTCAACTATCACTCATGCATACCCCCTACAACTTCATAGGCTTCATGTACAGCTTGAAGAATATCTTGAATATTTATATATTAGAAAAATTCCTTCTTTTTTTTCAGGCAGTGTACCAAAAATCAAAAGATTAGATGTTCTGAATCTTGAGTATTCTGTGAAATCAAGATACACTTAGCTATTGATGGTTTAAAAATGTGGGGAAATGAGTGCCATGATACCACTGGCATTTTTCTTGCAAATGTCATAGCAAACAGACTTGGAATGCAGTGCAAGCTGAAGAAAAGGCAAGCAAGCCCCCACGGTAGCACAGTGTGGACAGCTGGAATGGACACGTTATCCATCTATGACTGGAAAAGGTTAAGTAAACAGTGGGACAGTGACAAAGTGCAGGGATTAATTGCTTAAGCATTCAGTAATTCTTAAAACAGACATTAAATAAATGGACTTATTCTGGAGTTTGAGTTCTGAGAAACAATATAGAAGACTTTATTTTCCTTTGGAAACAGAGACTTCCTAAGAAAAGAGGACACGATAAATGGTATAGACCAAAAGAATGATTATAACAATAACAGGTGTACCTTATTTTGAAAGGACTACATTTTATAAGGAAGGTTTGTGTTCCGAAACTTTCTGTTTATATTAACTATAAAACATGAAAGGACATACTCTTGTGATATAGTAATGACAAAATGCAAGAGCAAGCCAGTATAATCTTTTTGTGCACATCATCCCCAGAAGTTACTATGAACCCACCACTTAGCTTCATCTCTTGAGACTCATGCTAAGCCTTTTTTCCCCCCAGATCACCAGCATAAATCAGTGGGTTTAAGACATAATTCACTAGGGATTTTGATAGGATTTGAGTAAATCCCCAACAAAAACTCCCTTGGCTTACCAGCTATTTTTAAAGGCAGGGATTTTGAAAGCAGAAGATCCTAAATTCACCTATCTTGTGGTAGTCCTTGCCACAAAGAGGGGAGGAAATTTGCCTATAAATGCATTATGAGATGCCTCCCTTTTCCAGAGTCTGTTGGATAGAGATTAATCACAGACATATTCTCTGTGTGATATTTCTCAGTCCAGTAACACTGAGCATATCAGTGTCTGCAATATTATCAGAATTTAAGAGTTTAAAATAGCTTTGATTATTTTCACTATGGAATTGGACAATTGGACAGATTGAATTAGAAGAAGTAAAAACAAATGTTGAGAACACTACCTACTACCTTATTGTCTTTTAAATTAGTTCATCCTCCCATAAAGTAGTGGGCCTAAAAATTACCTGAAGAACTTCTTAAAAGCAGTTGCCCATCTCCTGAAATTCAGATTCAGGAAGTTGGGAGTAGAGCATAGAGTCCCAAAATGGATCCATTAAATTGAGGTCATGTTATTTCAGTCTCTGGCCTTTAAAAAAGTACACACACGCACATATACACACAGAGACAGTCACACATACTTGTTGGAATGATGCTAATAAAGAATTTCTAGAAATCTGTGCTTTGGCAAAATGAGCTTTGTATACCAACCTCACCTTTTTAGGGAAGCTGATGCTGGGCTTGAAATATCAGATCCATGCTGCCTTCTTAATCTCAAGCATTATAAACCAAACCTAGATCTAAAACCCTACTTTGAATTCACATTCTGCAGTCATAAGTAGAGATTGAAAAATCACTCAGGAAATTGGTTTAATGACTTACCTCCTAAAAGGCAGAACTCTAGAGCATTAGACCACCCAGTGCATCATTTATAGGCCATAACTGTCCAAGAAAATGCCGAAGGTGTAGTTTTTGAAAAGGTTTTACTATTATCAAGTAGTCAGCACAGTAAAGATGAAACTAACAAACTCTTTTTGTGAAAATTGGAACAAAATGAAGGTCCAAAGTTTATTGTGCCCTTGTTTCCAGCCAGGGAGACTGGGTTTTATTTAAAATATTTATGAAAGAAGAGCTGAATTCCAGTGCTTCTTGAAAGAAAACCATTCTACTTTTACATGAGGAACTTCCTTTAATTTAGACCTTTTATCTCCAGTTTCTTTATTCTGTTGATGGTATTTCTTGAGGTATCTTAAACCCTGTAAAAAATTGGGCAGGCTTTTGTTTAATCAAATGTTGATATCTGCTGGAGCGGGTCTCCAGTACCGTTTAACCAAATATTATAACTCCTGCAGGTATCACCTCCAATTTGTTGAACAGATTTTCAATGTCATTATTAATGATAATTAACATTAAGTGACAAAACACATCATTCACAGAGTCTCAGTGACATGCAGGCTGGCAGCACTCACATCATGGTCGTGTGTGATACTTTGAACAGTCTTAATCAGGAAGAGCATCAGGACCCCTCAAAAGTTCCCTAAGTTCTGTCAGCACTTCCACCTCAGACCTTGGCTCATTTATTCATTCCATCTGATCTAGGCTTGTCCCACCCCCCAGCTTACTAGTTTAGCAACAACTGGATAAGATAAGAGACAAATTTTTAGGGTCTTTTTTTTTTTTTTTTTTGACATGGTGGTAGAGCAATGGAGTTTGAAAAGACAACTTACATAGGGGGAAATACAGTGTATTTTTCTATGTTCAAGGTCACAAAAATTTGGAAGCATAAAAATATATTGTGCTTAAAGACATCATGCTAAGTGAAATCAGCCCAATGCAAAAGTTTGTGCTTCCACTACAGAGGCACTCGGAATAGTTAAACTCACTGAGGCAGAAAGCAAATTGTGGTTGCCAAGGTTGAGGGCAGGTGGGGTTGGGGAGTTAGTCTTCAGTGAACATAGAGTTTTAGTTGGAGAAGAAGAAAAGGTTCTGGAGGAACACACTAGTGGTTGCATAGCATTGTGAATGTACATTTTAAAATGGTTAAAATAACATTTTTTATGTTGCATGCATTTTACCACAATAAAGGAAATACATTATGCTTATCATTACCATATTTGCTATGTAACATTCCTTATTCTGAAATTTTTTATACTATTTAAAATGACTATTTTTTTAAAGATTTACTTATTTATGCATACAAGAACTGGGGTACAGGCCAGAGGTGCAGGGGGTGAGAGGATTCACCAGAGACAGAGTGGGGAACAGAACAGGCAGATCTACTGAAACACACTGCTGAGGGGAGCAGCGGGCGAGACAGGAGAGGTCTGCTGCGCCATGTGGGTATCTCCCTGGCCGGGGATCGAACTCGTGCTGCAGTGGCTGCGGATAGCTTCATAAGTTGTGTCTCAACCCCTTGCACCAGGAGGAAGGCCCTAAAATGACTCTATCAAGGCATGACATGCATACAGTAAGATGCATACATTTTAATGGGCTCCGCGACTGTATATGCAGCGTAGGTGCCACATAGCCAAGCCATGGTGCATTCCCTAAAGGCTCTCGTGTCCCTTTCCACATTCTGCTGTCCTGTCCTCAGCCCATGACAACTGCTGCTTTGTTTTCTATCTTTGTGGATTAGTTTACAACTAATATTTTTATTTTTCAAATGGAGAAGATAACAAACTTTTTTTTCTAGCAAATGGAGATGCAAACACTAAGTTTTCTTTTTTTTCTGTTTTCTTTTTTTATTAATTTTTTTTTACATTGCTGTTCATTTTTAAACAATATTTGCTTCCCCCCACCCCCTCAGGTGCAGTCCCCATAGAGTTTCCTTCCCCAAGGCACCCGTGCACCATCACCTCAGTCCTCTGTGCTCCTTCCTCCCTCCCTCTGATCCCTCTCCCTCCTCCCCTCCCTGCAGGATGTCTCTGATTTATAATTGTCCATTTTTGCTTTGTTGTGTTTTGTACTGTTAACTATTTTTTTACACTGATGTCTTATTTGGTTCCCCTATATTCCTGCTATAAGTGAAACCATCTGATATTTTTCTTTTTCCTTCTGGCTTATTTCACTGAACATAATTCCTTCTGGCTCCATCCACATTGCTGTGAATGACATGAATTTATCTTTTTTGATTGCTGTATAATATTCCATTGTATATATACGCCACATCTTCTTGATCTGGTCATCTATTTTTGGGCATTTGGGTTGTTTGCAGGTTTTACTATTGTAAATAGTGCTGCAGTAAATATAGGGGTGCAGGTGGTCTTTTGAATCAGTGTTTTTGTGTCCTTTGGGTAGATCCCTAGGAGTGGAATTGCTGGGTCATATGGTAACTCCATTTTTAGTAGACTGAGGAACCTCCAGACAGCTTTCCACAGTGATTGGACCAGTTTGCACTCCCACCAGCAATGTAGGAGAGTTCCTTTTTCACCACATCCTCACCAACATTTGTTATTGCTAGTTTTTTTTATATGTGCCATTCTTACTGGTGTAAGGTGGTATCTCAATGTGGTTTTGATTTGCATTTCCCTGATGATAAGGGATGTTGAACATTTTTCATATGCCTGTTGGCCATTTGCATTTTCTCTTTGGAGAAAGGTCTTAAATTCTCTGCCCATTTCTTGACTGGATTGTTTACTTTGTTTTTGTTGAGTTGTATGAGTGCTTTGTATATCTTTGTGATCAGTCCCTTATCAGTTGTATGGAGTGCAAAAATTTTTTCCCAATCAGTGAGGTGTCTTTCTGTTTTGGTTAATGTCTCTTTGCTATACAGAAGCTTTTCAGTTTGATGTAATCCCAGGTGTTTATCTTTTCCTTGACTTTGCTTTGGGTGATGAGTCTTTAAAGATGTTACACAGGGCCTCCCTGGTGGCGCAAGGGCTTAAGCACCGCACTATGAAGCAATCTGCAGCCTCTGCAGCACAAGTTCAATCCCCGGCCGGCCAGAGAGCAACTCACATGGCGCAGCAAACCTCTCCTGACTCCCCCGCTGCTCCCCTCAGCAGTGTATTTCAGTCAGTCTGCCTTTTCTGCTTCCCACTCTGTCTATGGTGAATCTTCTCACTCCCCACGTCTCTGGCCTGTACCCCAGCTCTTTTATGCATAAATAAATAAATATATTTTTAAAAGGTTTAAAAAAATAAAGATGTTACACAAACACTAAGTTTTCAAAAGTATAAGAGGCAGGCAAAAGTTTTTATTACACAGTGAAGCTATGTTTCCCAAATTTGCTATAATTCTCTGTAGGTTGGATATCGCAGAATATTTCTTTGTCAAAAAAAAAGAAAGAAAGAAAACTGGATGTAAGTTTTCCACCCAAAATCACATCATTCCATATTCAATGTTTTGAAGACCCTCTGGTAGAACCCGCAAGGATTTCACAGTCTGTTTAGTCCTTACTGCCTCCCTGACCATCTCTGTCCTGACTCAAAGCTACCTTTCAGTTTCTCTCTCACTCTTTCCTTTTTCTGTAGAAACCTCCTAATCCAGATGGCAGTGTGTTCTCACATAGGAATTATTTTGACACTTGACACTGTCTGACTTTTTTATTTCTGTCAATATAAGTCCCACCTCAATTCCCATGCCTTTATGCAAAGGTGATTTCTTTATGAACTGTATTACTTCAGCATTTACTTCTTGTAAGATTTGCTGGCATTTACCATTTATTGTCTCATTTCATTAGTTATATTGAAGTGTAACAGTTAAAAAGGACAGATTGATCACTCAAAACAGTCATTTATACAGTATTTCTGATCATTTCTAAATCATGGGAGGCCCTGTCATTTTTTCTAACTTCCCAATTCTACTTACAAGTATTCATTAATGCATTAGATGTTCATTGTACAAACTGGAATCTACCTCTTCATGACTCTCCCCACTTTGATGTCATTTGTGCCTGCTAAAGAAACATATTAACTATGCTATTTCTGCAAGACCTGCCTTTAAATTTCTAATAGCAATTACTATGCTACATGGATAAATCTTTTTGAATTAACATGCCCTATTATAACCCATACTGTCACCTTCCTTTGACTACCCTCTATTGCACTAAATTCATGATATCCAGCCTTACACCTAGTACTCCAGATGCCATCTCTCTAGTCAGAGAAAAACATAAATCTTTCTTTAAATAAAAATGTCAATTGATGAAAGCTAATGGTCTCTTCCTAGCTTTGGTTTCTTTCATGTTTTCAAAATTTGATACTCTCACCTCTCTCTGCTCATTTGCCATCCAAGCTACTGGATCAGAAAGGGGGAAATAGGGCCTCCCCTGGTGGTGCAGCGGTTGAGCACTGGGCAGCAAAGCTGCCAGCAGCCCCCGCAGCGCCAGTTCAATCCCTGGCAGCCAGCGAGGGTCCCACATGGCACGCAGACCTCTCCTGCGCTGCCCACTGCTCCCCTCAGCAGTGTGCTTCCGTCCTCTGCCTATTCTGCTCCCCGCTCTGGCTCTGGTGAATTCTCTCACCCTCCCACGCTTCTGACTGTACCCAGTGCTTGTATAAATTAATTAATTAATTAATTTAAAAAGGGGGGGAAATACAGTGAAGCACAGCTTCAAAATATGTGAAAACATTGTAAGAGTTGGAAAACCACCACAACATACAGAAATGGAATTATAATTGTAGGAGCTTTTGGTTCACGATTTATTTAAGAATATTCTATGCCAGGAACTAGTCTTGGCACTTAGGATATATTAGTGAGCAAATGAAGGATCCTGCCTTTATTCCAGCTATTTCTAGCAAAGTTTTTAGGCAAACAAGGAAGCCTGGCAGGCAGTATCAGTTTAGAGAGTTAAGTGAAGCCCCCAAAAAGGAAAAGAAGAAATTTTAAAGGGTTTAGGCACATGCATTACAGATAATTAATCATATTTGTAAACTTTCGGTGTTTGAAGCCATGATTCAAGACTCTTAGAGTGATACACACACAAACACACACACACATTATTTAATGGATGCAATTTGATTTTGCAAGATGTCAGTAGTTCTGGAGAATGCACAACACCATACTATTGAACCATATACACTTAAAAGTGAGTAAGATGGCAGATTTTGTGTTAGGTATATTTTACAAAAAAAACTGTTCTTTTCCCCACTCTGTCTCTGGTGAATTCTCTCAACCCCCCACATCTCTGGCCTGTACCCCAGTTCTTGTATGCATAAATAAATCTTTTAAAAAATAAGAAAAATTTAAATTAGCAAACTACTAAGTCGAAAGACCAGTAAACTCATAAAAGCACTAAAAGAAAAATTTTAAGAAGTAAGCCATATACATAATAAAGTTAGGGAAGCCAACTCTGCACATGTGGAAGAGTTGAAGGACATTGCAGAGCAGATCCCTATTAATCTAAACTATGAAAGCACTGAAAAGAAATGCTGAATGCAGAAGCCAGCCAGATTTTGAAGGGAATCTTGAAAGTTATAAGCATTTCAGATAGAGAGCGTAGCAGAAACCTAGATGAAAACAAGTAATAACTCAATGGCAGAGGGTCCTTGGAGGACAATGAGAAAGAAATTAGTTGTACATTGTAACTTGCTCAAACATAAAGACAAAGCATTTGATCTGGTGAGAGAGCTGTTGAAAATGACATTGGAAAAGCAAAATGGTGTAAAATGATGGGAAATCAGAGAAGGCCCATGATAGCAGGATGATAGTGAACATGCAAATACAAAGCAGTGGGTTCATTAAAACTATCAGAAGGGAAGAGCCAGGAAAATGTGAATATTGGTTATGGGAAGCAGAGAAGAAATCAAATTACATAAATGTTGTCAGAATATGGTGATTGAATTAGCATTGAAAGGGAAAATTTGTCTTGTTGGATAAGAGACTTGATTTAGTGTTGATATATTAAAGATACTTCTGGGTATTTAAAGATAACAGGAAGAGAAAATAAGATGTTTAGGGACTAGAGTTTGCAAGTTCAGTTTATTTCAGTCAAGCCCACCCCACATAAGCTCCACATAGGCTCATCTTTGGACTGTGGTTTTCTCTGTGCTTATAAGGTAGTATAGCTACCATACTGAGACCGCTATTCGGGAAGCTGAAGAAAATCATAATCAAAAGGATTTCTTGGGCCTCCTCAGTGGCGCAGTGGTTGAGTGCTGGGTTGTGAAGCTGCCCGCAGCCTCTGCAGCGCCGGTTCAATCCCCGGCTGCCGGACGAGGGTCCCACATGGCGTGCAGACCTCTCCTGCCGCCCGCTGCTCCCCTCAGCAGCGTACTTTGTCACTCTGCCTGTTCTACTCTGCGCTCTGGTGAATTCTCTCACTCTCCCATACCTCTGACTGTACCCAGTGCTTGTATAAATAAATAAATAAATCTTTAAAATAAAAGGATTTCTTAAGGACATGAGATGAAAAAGTAAATGAAATGTCTTAATTGTTTACTAGCACTATGGGTGGTTAAGTAACAAGTGAAGGAAACACCAGAATCAAGGAGGCATCGTTAGGAGAATCTCAATGTCAAATTTATCTTAAAATTGGAGTAGGTTAAACTTAGGCGTATGTGTCCATGACAATAGAATGTCCAAAGCTACTGATTTCATTCTTGCTTTCATCTGATCTCTTTCTGGTGTTTTCAGGATTATGGAATTTATGGACTATAACTATATAATCATTTCACTTGAATTACCTAGTGACAGGAAATGGATAATTTGATAACATCCCTAATTCATTCTCCTTCCCTGTCTTGCATTTCCAACAAACACACATATTTAGGGCCCATTCTTAGATTGTCAGCCTCCATCTTCCCAACACTCATTTCATCTCTTATTTACTAGTGACAGAAGGCTAATGTGTTCTCAGAGATTCAGGAATTACCAAAAGGAATTTGAGCCCCGTTTGCTTTAGATATTTGCCTCTTGTCTCTGAAAATTGCTCCGAGGAGCAGGGGGACAGAGGAGGTAGTCTTACTATTTCTTGAAACTCACATGCCACAGCAGAGTACTTTTGGACACATCTTGATTCTATTAGAATTTGCAGGTCAAAGGGCAAGTTCAACTGTTCTGGTAGTTTAAAGCACTGAGATGAAGAGAATAGACCACTTTAATGACTTAAAGTTGGATTTCTGCTGCTACCTACTCATTTTGCAAGTAATGTAGCATGTTAGTCCTGCAGTGGGGGCGGGGGGGTTTTCCTAATCACTTTGAAAAGTTCTATGTCCACATTTTCAAGTTATTTTTGCACTGAGAAAAAGACACAAAGAGAGTAATTTGGCAGGAAGAGCACTGCATTTCTGACTTTGCTCTGGGCTTGTAGCACACATGTATTACCTTTCATAGTTTATGTGCTTGTATTACTCCCTCGGGGCTCATGGGAAACAAAATCAGAATGTGCTCCACGAGTAAGTCTTCCTTTTCTATGGATGACATTTAATTATTAAAGTTTTCTTGAAGTCAATTATTAATCCCATCAAGGTTCCTTTTCTTTAAAATAGTCATGAAAATAAGATAAGGTAAATCCTAGATCTTCAGCCATTGACTAATTATAAAGGGACTATTTCTGTTAGTTTTATTTTCTTCTTTATAGTTGTCTGTATCTTCCAGTTTTTGTTCAATGAACAATGACTTATCAGAAAATATTTTTTTTTCAAAGAAGCAATTACATGACTAGTAACATAAAATTCTGCTGCTGTTTGCTCGGGTTTTTCGTTGCTGTTGTTTTGTTTTTAAACTTCGAGTTCCATTCTCTCTGAAAAGCAGGGTGTTCTTAACAAAACTTTTTAGTCTAGATCCTTTGAAGTATACTCAGTAAAACTTAACCACATGAGTTCAACTTCACCATATGATATTTCCCATCAGATTTATTAAGGAACAACCTTTCTTATTCCCAAAAGTTGTGGTCGTTACTGTTTATTAACTTCTATATTCTTGCCTATCCAAATTTTTTTTTCCAAGAGGTTTGTTTTCTTGAAACTTTTCAAGTTTCCATTTCAGATTTACCAAAGCCGTAGTCAAGAGAACAATACTGTATCTCTTTCCAAAATCAAAAGAGACACTTAAAAGCTAATATTCCTATCAAAGATACTGACACTACCCAGAGTTTATATGATGATGTGTACAATATGTAATAAAAACATTTTATTCTCTTGACTCTGAATTGCCCTTCTTAAGCACATTCACATGTAGAATCAATATCAAGTATTTTTTCAAATGAAAAGGGCAATGGTATGTTAATCTGTTAGGGAATTTTTAGAATGAGAGCCCTGGGTATCAGAGAGAACTTTTGATTCTGTGCAGTTCATGTATATTGTCAATGCTCAATAAAAAAGAAATAGCTTCAGTGACATAAAATCTCTATTTGAATTGTATATACGAAGAAAATACATCAAATTATGTATCTTACTAAAAAGGCATTATTCCAATGACTCAGACTTTAATGACAAATCCTTTATTTTAAAATTTAGAATCTGAATTGTCACCTGTTATATCATATTGCAGTTTGGGAATGTGACATTTTACCCTAGAGATTAACTGTACCACATTAGCTGGCCAAGCATATCATTTATAAAAGAACTTGGAATTCAATGAAGATGTTTCAGCACTAAAGAATAAATTTAATGGTTTCAATTAATGATGCTAAAACTTAGAATGAAACTCAGATCATACTTCCTTAGTATCTTGTATTCAAGTGAGATGCTCATGACAAATTGGACAGAGTAATTTGTCTTTCATTCATCTTCTGTTGTTTGTCTGCTGCTAACTGTGTGAATCTCCCTATTGGTGCAAAGAAATACGGCACCCTAATTGAGAAAGCACATTTCTCATTCCAACTCTGTCAGTCTTTGAGCTTCCCAAAAAGGAACAGATGACAGCAGTCAACAGGAAACTGTGCATAGAGAGACCATCTTGAACTCCTTCACCTTTAAGCTCATTTTACCACTTAACATATTTTTTACAAGTGGTCAGTGGATATATTTAGACTATCATTATCCCTTTGGTGTTGACTGGAGCTTCATGGTATAAACCATCTGCTATTTCTTAGAATTATTTAGCTGGTGGGGGACAGTGGAAAGTTATACTTGGGTCAATGAGAATCTTCTTCCCTTACAACAGCAAAGACTAGTTAAACAAATCTTTATTTCCATGATGTAAACTGATCTATATATTCCATTTGTTAGTGCTTGTTCAGCGATCATGTACCTACTCATATCCAGAATAAAGAAAATCCCTATCACAATATTCAAAAGATAGTCTTCCAGTTTGTGGCTAAACTAAAACTCTTCCATATGACTGCTATTGAAGCATAATTATCTTAACAAAAGACAGAAGCAAGGTTAAACTTGGGCAGTGCAGTCTAAGATTCAGCATTTCCTCAGGTCAAAGCTCGGGCCACTTAAATAGTTACTGTAAATCAAATCTGTCTTCCTGCAGATGACTTACTTAAAAGACAAGCTATTAAGGAATGCATTTTGGGATAGGAGACTAATTGTTTACCAACTGCAGTCTGATGATTTTATAAATTTCTCATGTCCACCTCCCTACTAAATCCCACCTTTTCTTCCTGGATGTGAACCAAAAAGTAGTTAACCAAACCACAAGGAATCTGTAAAGTTTAAATTATTGTTTCAAAGTGTGTAGATGACTGCCAAATAAAGCCGTAACTGGAAACTAACTTATTTGCATGATGCGATAAAAAGAAGTTTGGATGTTCAGTATGCCCCTGGGACTGATGGCTGCATTTCTAAATCTTATTTGCCAACATACACAATTTGTTTTACACTCTATGCATCAAAATGTTTTCATTTTCAATAACGCCTGAGTTTGCCTGGAAGCTACAGAATACCCATGAGTTAAATGGTGAAGGTTGTAGGGGTCAGAATTATTCTTCTTTATTTAAAAAAAAGTCATTAACTATATTTTTCAAGTTTAACCATAACATTTTTAGGACCTCTATGTTAAGATGTCTGTATATCAACATGATAAAGACATTTAGAGTCAGAAAGACCTGAATGGGGCTCCTGGTTACACCTTTTATTTCAAATGTGAAGCGTGGGTAAGCTATTAAATTCTAAGCCTCAGTCTTACCACCTATAAAATGGGGTAATAGTAATAGTGACTTCAAAGGATCATTGAGAGGTTTAAATGAAAGTCTTAACATTTTCTTTCTTTTGCAGGCAGGAAGCTCTTCTGGCTGCCATTAGTGAAAAAGATGCCAATATAGCTCTTTTGGAACTTTCGTCATCTAAGAAGAAGACCCAAGAGGAAGTGGCTGCACTAAAGCGGGAGAAGGATCGTCTGGTGCAGCAGCTCAAGCAGCAGGTATAATTAAACGTCAGGCTGGGTCCCTTGGAGAAGAGCCATTAGGACTAACTTTCACACCATTCTCTACCCAAATGTTTGCCAACTCGTGTTTTAAGGCCTTGTGTCACAGACATCTGATTCTTGTATCAAAGTTTTTGTGAGTACAGACTTCATGTTCTTCCCACTGTGTAGGAAACACAGGAGTATTCTTGGTAAAGCCTGGTTTAGAAGATGGCACGAATCTCCTCTGGGAATGTTGTTTTTGCTTTTTCAAAGACTAAATGATATTAGTAAAAATCTGCCCATTTGAAATTTAAAAAAGACTTATTTTTGCACCAAATCAGTTTCTGATTGTAGTAGGTTCTAAGAATAGCTTCCTTTAAAAAAAAAATTCCCAGTTATTCAAGGCTGGATAAACTCTGAAGATAAGAGCAAGGTTTTTTCCTTTTCTTTTCCAATCTGAGCCTGTGCAAAATTTAATGTTTACTTTCTATGAATGTCTTTCATCAGTAAAACTAAGAACTTAGTGAGATTAGGTCTTTTCAGTAGGTAGCTCTAAATATATGGACATCTGATTCAAGTGGTTTATGGTCCCTCCACCTTAAGAAAACACCAGATGGTCTCACTCATAGCAGGAATTTAGAAAACCTAAATAAGGGACCAGGAAAAAGACTATTAATTATAATGAAGTAATCATCAAAATCAACAAGCAACTATAAACCGGGGACACACTACAGAGGGGAGAGAAGGGAGTAGTTTCAAAACAAGGGTGGTGGGAATTGTATGGAGACTATAACCAAGATGAAAATGCATGGATTGTGCAAAAATGAAAAATGATATAAGAAATATATAAAATAAAGAAAAAAGAAAAAAAGAAACCAAGTGGAATAGAATGTCTTCCAGAGCAGGGTGGCTTTTGATTACTTGACTCAAGACTGTATGTTTTCATTAAGTGAAAGTTAAGGATATTAATTAATCCATTAACTTACAACCTTAGAAAGGAATATCTTAAAACTTACTAATATCTTTGTATCTCACTATACACCTTAAATATTCTGTAGTGATGCAATCTGTGTAAGGAGAAAGATAATGCCGTTCTTGGGAGGCCTTCCTAACAGTGTTTTTCCGTCTCTATTCCATGTAGTTTCACATTCCTGCCCTCACAAAATGTTTGGGGATGTTGTGAGTAGGAAGGAAGAGGTCTTGCCAAAGATATTTTCATTCTTTAATTTTCCTAAGTGTGTGTACTAACTTTTGGAAAAGGAAGAGGCCTTTTGGAAAAAGGATATGGCATCAATGTTGTTTTAATTTAAAGCTTCTAGTCCTTGAATTGCTGGAATGTACCTCAATCTAAAGGCCATTTCCTAACAAGGAAGCAGTCAGCATTGACCAGGCCTTCCAGTAAATGGAGCTGCCACTGCCTGATGGGTTCTTGGCATCTGTGTGCGATTCCTATCGTCAGAAAGAGGTGAAGCAACAAGGGATTTACAGATTTGGGGTCATCCTCTAAGATGGTCCCAATTTACTTACCCCCCAGGGTAGCTTGTCTCCTTGACTCACTCATGGCAAAGCAGTACTTGGAGAGGCTGCATCAGAGGCAGGGGCTAGGGCCAATGAAGAAAATAAGAACTAAAGGTTGTCTAACAAGCTCCAGGTGTGCTGTGATGAGTGCCAACTAGTGTGTTCAGGTTGTAAGTCATGAAGCCCCCACTGCAATCGTCAAGCACCCGCCCTGGATTTCATGTAAACTCGGAACCCTGGAAAGCATTAATGTAGTCTATTAAGTCACAGTGTCTATCACAAGATGGCCTTTTTCTCTCAGCATTTATTTTCTTTTCACCACAAGAATTTTGCAACCTCCATATTGTCTTTGCTGTTTAGTGTGAAGCCTGACGCTGCCCCTGTGTGCTTCAGGCTGATGTGACATCGGCAGGTTGGGCTCTTTGAGACAGGCTGGATGACTTTTTTCTGTGTTTAAAAGTGAACTATAACATTTTAAGAGTAAAGGTTATAAAATTAAGCTGATTTGGTTTGGATCTCGACAATCTCATTTACAACTACAATTTTGTAATCCTTGCATTAGGATTGAATGTCAGACAATTTTCTTTTATTCCAACACTTTCTAGGCATGAGGGATATAAAGACACAGTATTTGCCTTAAAGAAACTCCCAGTGTGTAATGCTTAAAATACTAGTTGTTCTAAGTATTTGGCAAAACTATTCTGTAGAGGGTAGTCCCTGGCCTAGCCATATCTTCCTGCTGACAGCTTCAGCAAATTATTCCTGCATTACGTGATTTATTTGCCCGTTCATTTTCAATTCATTGAGTATCTACTGTGTGTTAAATATTATGTTAACAGAAAACAAATGTCTTTCTTCACAATAACAGCCTGGCAGAGAGCTATCAAACCTATGTTGTAACTCTAGCTATCCCTTTAGCCAGCTAGATTACTTCTGAGATTCATGTTACTCATCTATAAAATTTGGATTACATTACCTACTTCACAGGATTGGTATAAAATCAAAAAAGATAGCAAAACTGGAGCATGTAGATTCCTTTTCTATTCCCTTTCAAGGATCCCTGTTCCACAGTGCGAACCATACCTATATGATGTGTGTCACATTGAGAGGGCAGGAGGACTATGTCAGTTACACGACTAAGCACATTGTGTTCTACTCCCCTGAGAGATCTTACTTCTCAGAGCAGTTAGAAGAACAAACAGTGGTAGTTTTTAGCCTTTCTTTTTTTTCTATCTGTTTTTTAAAATGACCCTGCAATAATACAGTATTTTTTAAAAAGTCTAATGTGTTAAATGTTACATTTTCATCACAGAAGATCATCATTTAAATGTCTTCCAGCCCAGAGTTCTCAGCACTAGAAAAATGATCATTCGCAGCATACATTCTCTCTCACTCACTGAGTTATAGTTCTGTGACTTACCATTTCCATATATCCCTTTTCCTTATATCCTGACTAGTATGACTTTTCAGATGTATATGAAAATAGAATAACAATAAAAGTAGCTCCCACACGTCACTTTTACTATATTATGCTGGACGTAGCTCCTTTATATACGTCAGTCTGATCCTCACAACTCTAGTGGTATTATCCTCATTACATAGATGGAGCAAAAAGCACATGAGATCCTAAAAGATTGAATTTTGTGGCTAAATTTCCGTGGGGATCAAGTAGTTGGAACCGGAATTATAACCAAGATTCTTTTTACTCTTACCATCTCACGTGGAAATTCCAGACAGCTGGTAGTTAGAAAGGTTGTGTTAGAATTATAGTAATACAAACAGTGCTATTTCAAGTTTTTATAACCCTCACATATTCCTCCTGAGAGAAAGGAAAGGGTGTTTATACACTGACTCCTCCCTTTTCTTTCTGCCTAAGAAAATCTGAAACAAACAAAAAAATGGTACGATTGGTCCCTGTCTTACTAAGAGATGTTATATCAACCTGGAGTTACAAAATAACAGCGATATAGAATTTCCTTCCTTTTATTAGAGATGACAGTACTCTGGCAGGACTCTACAGGATACACCCAAGAATGCCTCACGTTCTAGTTACGTTGAGCAGTCTGCAAACTGCTCCTAAAAATCAACCAAGAGCCAGCACCCCAGGCGCGTTTGGCTACCCTGAGTATATGGAGCCTGTTCAAGTTCCGAGTGATCATAAGACAGTATGACCGTCTGAATCCCTAACTCATGGGCAATAATGGGATGTTCTAACCCGACAGCTACCCTGAAGGTAGCCCATGTGGCCAGTCTGTTGGACATGTACATGGGGTTAAGCTCTAGTACCCCTAGGCTTTCATCACCTGTGAACATGGCATACATGAATTAAGGAATGATTGCAATTTCCTCTGAGAGCAGTTAGTCTCGAGAGGCATTTCAGGGGCCTGTGGGTTCAAAATTATTGTTCTTAAAGGATGTTTAACTTACCACCCACTTGAAATTTGGACAGCTTTGATTTAGTTGCTTTGCAAGATTAGTTGCTTTTTGGAGAAAACAGAAACTTAGAAGACGATTATGCTTTTCAAAATAATCTGAAGGCAGTCATCTATAACATGTTCATTTTTCATCATCACAGAATGCCCTGGAAGCATCACTTGATAATGGTATTCAGAATGAACATTTCAACTCTGAGTTCCTTAGGCAAATATTCTACTTTCTGTAATAGAATAATGCTAAGTTAGGTCTAAGAAAGATAAGTAGATAATCAGTTTACTCAATGAGAAGCACAAATTTATTATCAGGTTGTTTTTTTTTTTAATTCAATTGCTGCTTCTGAATTATATCACATAAAATGTTTCAGGCTTTAACCTTCTCAAATAAATTTCTTGAATTCATAATTTATTATGAAAATGATTATCCGCTTAAACCTGTGATTTATACCTTCTATATTCCCATTTTCAGGAGAGGTCTGAACTATTCTTGTCAATGAGGCATTAAGACAACTATCAGAAAATCTACTCAATGGTGATACATCAGAAAATCAGTTGAATTTTTTTTTTTTTTGAAATGAGATTTTTTTTTTTTTTTATAGATTTATTTATTTATTTATACAAGCACTGGGTACAGTCAGAAGCGCGGGAGGGTGAGAGAATTCACCAGAGCCAGAGCGGGGAGCAGAGCAGGCAGAAGGACCGAGGTACACTGCTGAGGGGAGCAGCGGGCGGCAGGAGAGGTCTGCGCGCCATGTGGGGCCCTCCTCCTGTGGCCGGGGAGCAGCCGGGGATTGAACCGGCGCAGCAGAGGCTGCAGGCAGCTTCGCAACCCAGCGCTCAACCGCTGCGCCACCGGGGAGGCCCATCAGTTGAATTTTTTAAGGTCTTTACAAAGTGAGAGTGACCTCACATTTTTCATTTAAATGTTCACACTTAGCAGTCTGTCATAGTGAACATTCATTTGCCTCCTTTGATGTGTTGACAAAATTTTTTCATCTTTTTCTAACAAGATCTGTAAGGATTGCATTATTGTGTAGTTCTGCTTCAGGGAAGGTAAAATCAAGGTACAAATCATCTATAATGATCAGACTTACAAGAGGACTAGATCTGCACTTCAGCATAGAGAGCTTACAAGGCCTATCAGTTCCCATTGGGACTCTGGGGTTAGTTAATTCAAGACTCAGCACTTCCCCACTGTGCAGGAAGCTCTTTTTGACCCATTCCTTTTACTATCAACAGATCCTTTCAGACTCTCTTCTAAATTCGTTAAGCAAAATTCACCAATTATTATTTAGTGTCCAATGTATGCCACACTTTCTCCTAGGTGCTGGTAAACATGAATAAGTAAAACAATCATGGCCTTGAGGATTTCCCATTATTCCAAGGTCAGGTATTTTATTCAGCAATTCTCGGTATTGTGTGTTTTCAAAGAAGTTTGGCAAAGAAGCTGTGCTTTCATATTATACAAGAAAACTGAGCAAAAAAATTTCATCAGTAATTTATCATACAATTTCTGATAGTTCAATCTGTCTCATTTTAAGAGCTCTAAGCTAGTTTTAATTTGTCCTCATTTCATATTTCCTGAACAAACTGTCAGTTTCCATTCTGCTCAATAAAAGAATTATAAATGGATTAAGGGTAGCTAAGCTTAGTAGGCCTGAAGAATCATAAATAATGTGTCTATTCTTTTTTAGTAGATACAGAAAAAACTGGATGAATTGCTGTGTGTTGTTGCTTCATTTCCCCAACAAAAAAAAATTAGGTCTTGCTTATTCTACTATTATGGATTTTTTTTTTAAAGATTTATTTATTTATGCATACAGGAACTGGGGTACAGGCTAGAGGTGTGGGGGCGGTGAGAGGACTCACCAGAGACAGAGTGGGGAACAGAACAGGCAGACCGACTGAAATACACTGCTGAGGGGAGCAGTGGGCGAATTAGAAGAGGTCTGCTGCACCATGTGGGCAGCTCCCTGGCTGGGATTCAAACTCGTACAGCAGTTGTGGACAGCTTCATAGGTTGCGTCTCAACCCCTTGCACCACCAGGGAGGCCCTATTATGGAAATTTAAAGATCAATAAATTAGTATCTTCAAAGAGAACCAAGATGTTCTTGAGAAGAGTAGTATATAAGGGCAAGGCTGTGTTAACATTGCCTCTTCTATCCCTGACTTCTGGAATGCCACCTGACCGACAGGAAACTCACACAGCCTTGCCACATTCAGAGGGAGAATATAAAGGCTACTTTAGTCCTTCTTTGCCTGTCCTGCCATCTGTCTCCATTTGTCTTTTTCTTCCTCTGATAAGCACAAGCAAATCAACAAATCTGATGCCTGTGTAGATACCAAACAGAGAAATGGGTTACCATTCTCCTTTCTTGACACCTGTTCTTTAGGAATGTTCTTTGAGGTTCTTTCGTTTAGCTTAGGCAAAGGAGACCCTCCTCTACATGAATATATAATCTTCATGACATCAAGATTTCTTCTGTAACTCTTAGCGCCACTCACCCCAGTCATATGTAGAGCACAAAAGGCACACACTGAGTTGTTGGACTGGTGACAGTGCATTTTCAGCCACCCCTTAGCAAGATCTCGTTATAATGTGGCTTGCTTAACTCTTCTTTGTGTCCTACTTTTAGCCCTGGTCATCATTCTGGAAAAAATGGAAAAACCCATTCTTCATAGTTAAAACTGGTATCAAAATGGTTTCAAAGTGACATCTAAACTTGGAGAGAGAACAAAAACAACTATTTTAAATTCTATAAAAAAATGAAAAATGATATAAAATATATAAAATAAAATAAAAAAGAGAAGGATATAGAATAAAGGGAAAAGTAAGCAGAAGTGTTAAAGTAGCTTGAGTGTTACAGAAGCTGTCTGTGGACAGTAAAATGTCGCAGGCATCTGTCTACCTCTTGATAAGACCAACATTTGAGAGCATTCACCTTCCTACCCTGTGTTCACTACACATTTATAATGCCAAGGACCTTTTGCTTGATGAGCTGACAGTCCTCAGAGAAAGAACACAATGATGGGTTTCACTGCTGGAAGACTTGTACGTTGCACTTGACAGTGCCTCCCTCTGTATTTGCTTTATACCCTAGTGTCCACCGCTCAGCTGTTCTGTATGACATCATCTCCTGATAGTGACTGTTGTAATCATAGAAAGTAGAAACCCTCCCTTGGTTATGATGTGCAATATTTAAATTTGACAGAATATTACAATTCAGTTAGCATTTAATGATTTTAACAGTCCTATTGAGTTGGTCAGATAAAAACATTAATCTCTTCATTATCCTATCTCCCTTCAATTCTAGATTTGTATATATTTATATATTTATCACTCTTTCTCTAAAACACTACAAACATTAATGTCTGCTGTATTTTTTCCTGATGGTTTCCAGACTTATTTGAAAGGAGCTGGATGCAAAACATGTCCTATTCACTGTCCTTACCACTGGAATTGCTTTCTACTCCCTCATTTTAATCTCTTCTTTAATCTTTACTTCAAGACTCACCTTTTTGTAGTTTGGAATTTCCTAGCCATGAACACCATTTTTTCCTTTATTGTTAGCAAAGCCATCCTATGCTTTTTTTCACTCACATATTCATCCTCCTTTGGGTATAATTTGAAATATGAGAGGGGCAGAGAGAAGCGAGAAGGAAACTATTCGTCCATTGTCCTACAGTTGTTATTAACATTATTTATTCTAAGGCAGATTATTCACATTGCTGTGACCATTTCTTCATTACAGGAATTCCCATCAGTGACCATGGTTGTTTTGTTTTCTTGTTTGTATCAAGCAGTGTGGTAATGTAGAAATAACACTAAACTAAGTACCAAGAGTCCTGAGCTCTGGCTTCAATTCTGTTAATAACCAGTTGTATGATCTTGAGCACTGATAACTAATATACACACTTCACAATTTCAATACCTAATCCTGGGCTGATATGTTCTGTGTAGATACCATAAATGAAGGAAGTGTCTAGCAGGAGAGAGAGAATTGTGATGAACGAGGGGTCACATGCTTTGTCTAAAGAGGCAGCCACTTTTAATTCTAGCTTGTCACCATGCAAGATGTGACTCCCTTGTTATTCAGGCATCCATTTCCCCCCAGAGAATCCAGATTTTTCTATAAATATTTTCCTATTATTTGCTGTTTGCTGGCTTAGAAGTAGACTTCAGAG